AATAATTACTACCTAAAACGTATGAATGTTTTGCTCGAATTTCTAAAATTTTAGGCTTGATAGAGCTCTGCAGAAAAGAAAAAAATCGTCAAAAAAATATCCGTAAGTTTCTCTTCCAACGAATGCGAAGAAATTACTATGGTGCTTTAATGCGTGATTTTTCACTATTTTTAAGGTATCTTCAAATGGTCTAAAATTGAAAATTTTAATTGGCTTGTTCCGGAAACTGAGATAATTTTTTATAAATTTTCAAAAAGTGTTTGATTCATTTCTATTTGGTAATCATTATGTATTATGAACGCTTGATTAATTAGGTTCAGTATATCAATTTTCCTTATATAAAGCGCTATGGGATAATGCTGGCCCACGAACAAGGGCCAATGTAAGTTTAAAGCGAATTCTCTACAGCTTATTTTTTACTACACTCTTTGTCGCCAATCTTTCGAAACCTAAGAATATCATTTCAGATTCATAAAAACTGCATTATTTAAAATTTGTTTTATTGAATTACAAGAATATTTTCATAGAACGTATGTGGAAAAGTTGGGCTGGAAATAGAAATTTTCAGTATTTGTATTTCTTAGATAATATACAGCTTTAGTTATAGTAAAATGAGCACTTCATAAATCCAAAATGTTCGTCTAAGGGGTCTGTTGATCAGCTGAACAGCCAGTTCATGAAGGCTTGCTAAAACAGGACAAACAAAACTCTAAACGGTACAATACTGATTCAATTGGGCGAAATTTGCACATAGCATAGAAAATCATGTTTTTTGAAATACTGTCAACTTTTAAAAATACAAGTGAACATTTGATGTGCCAGTGTCATAAGAGCATTGATTTTCCGATGAATTTTCAAATATTTCTTCTGAGGTCGAATCGCGACTGAATGAGAGCTCTGTTATCATACCACCGTTAATCTCCAACGAGCTTTCAGAAAACCGATGTATCTGAAACCGCCCAAAAACTGAAAAACTCCATCCAAGGCCCAGTTTTTTCTCCCCAATAAGCTTCAAGTTTTGCAAAAAAAATTAGTTGTGCATCGTCAGTTAATACATTTCAGCAATACTGATGAAGATGATGTAATGATTATCAATTGCGAATTTCATATTACCAATTAAATGATACAGGTTGATTTCAGCCCAATAGGGCTTATTTGATGAGTCAGAGGTGCTGTTTGGCATATTTGATTCTGATTGGGCAAGAGAGAGCGAATGCGATGAGAACTGGCCAATCAGATGATAGCATTCATGATAGCATTCAGTATGTTCCCCTGAAATCAAGTTTCGTCATTAGTTTTATGCTCAAAGCATCCAAAATTGAATTATAGATGTAAAACAGAACTTTTTTCACCAAAAAGTGAGATTTTCCAAAAACTAGCATCTGCTTTGGAGCAGCACGCACCAAAAAAAAAAACATGTTATTTTTAATTGAAAAAAGGATATAATAAAAAAGATCTTTTTTTTTCAAATTTTTCAAAATCTTCTTTTTTCAAAATCCTTTTTTGCCTTATTATACACAAATAATCAAAAAAATTTGCCAAAAGTTGCTTCTGTTTTCCTATTTCTCTTACAGGTAGTGTATAAATGAAGAGGGCTAGGAAGAGGACGACGAAGATATATGCAAAATAAACCCCATTTGAGTAATTCTCAAGCTACCCAAGACCAAATTGTTGAACAGCAATCTACTGAAATTAAAAGAATACCCGTTTACCCTAGAAGTAGTACGGATTACTAAAAAAAACTGATTCAATATTTGAAGTTCAAGAATAACGAAAATTTGTACCAAAAATTGCTTTATTTTTGGCGCGCGCTCTCCCCCCTCAAAACTAGCTTTGGCGCCGATGGCGCCGTTAGAAAAATTTTAGGGTCAGTCAGCCAAAAATGGGTATGTCAAAATAGTACAAAGGGGGACCCTTTTGTGTCGTCAGGGCGTCGAATCCGAAAAGGAAAGGACGTCAGACCCTCCCCCCCCCAAATCCGCCCTGAATAAGGCATTCTTTGATTGAAATTTTGAAGTCTACAGTTTTTTGACAAAAGTTTTGCAAATCCAACATCAGTGAAGATCCTAGATATAAATTACAGAAAAATGGACAAAAACATCAGTGTAAATGTCTTGCATAATGATGAGCATAACTCAAGAGCAATTTCGGTGAATCTTTCGAGGAAGCGAGCAGTTCAGAGTAGTCATCCGAGCTCCTCTCGTGAAAATATGCCGCCATTTTCTCTTTCGTCTCTTCCGCATCACAATGACGAGCATCGAAAAAATTTGGAAGCTGACAAAATGACAATCCAGTTCAAGGTTTGTAGTTGATCGATTTGTTTTGCAAAAAAAGTTCGAGGCCAGCAAGGGGCTATCAGAACATTCAGCGCTTTGCTCTGAACAAAATAAATTGGGGCATATGTGAAGTACGCATAACCTTGCGAAAGACAACTAGAGCAGTGGATTATAATGCCGAATAGAGCAAAGAAGGAGGGAATCGATCAAAAATTTTTTTTTAAAAGAGGTTACTCAAAAAAATGTTGAAATACGATACAAACACAAAAAAAAATATTTAAGTTGTCTCGATTGAGCTTCATAAACATCGTCAAGTAAGCCTTGATAATCTTTTAGCAAGCAAGAACCAAGTCGACAAAATGTTTTCAGAAAATTTTGTTCTCAATTTCTGATTTAATCTATTTTTTAATTGAAAGTTTTTCTGTAATTTGTTAAGTTATCTTTCTTTCTGAAACATTTTTTTCATTTGTTTTTAGATTTTGTTTTTCACAGTCCAAGTTAAATCGCATACTTTTTTTGCGTACTTGGAAAACGAAGTACGCATAGTATTTTGTTTTCCAAGTACGCATAGTCTTTTTGCGTACTTGGAAAACGTTTTTTGTTTCAGTTTTCGGGTGTTTCAAGGAAGAAGGGTTTCAATTTTGAATTTCAGGTTTAAATTTTACGAATTTTTAGCTGAAAACTGTTGAACTTCAAAATTGAAACCCATCCTCCTTGAAACACCCGAAAACTGAAAAAAAAATTTCGTTTTTCAAGTACGCAAAAAGTCTGTTTTTCCAAGTATGCGATTTAACTTGGGCTGTGAAAAACGAAATCTAAAAACAAGTGAAGAAATTGATTCAGAAAGAAAAATAATTTAACATATTACAGAAAAACTTTATCGGTTTTCATCCTGAATTTAATCGGTTCAATTTCTTTTTTTTTGCAAAATGGAATATTTAGTTAGTTTTTCTATCGGCCTACTTCTCAGATCAAAAAATTTTTTTTTCTTATTTACTCTTTTTTTTGTTTGAAAGTTTTTCTGTAATTTGTAAAATTATCTTTCTTTCTGAATTAATTTCTTCACTTGTTTTTAGATTTTTTTTTCACTGCCCAAGTTAAATCGCATACTCGGAAAACAGTCTTTTTGCTTACTAGGTAAAAAAAAATAATTTAGGTTTTCGAGTGTTTCAAGGAGGATGGGTTTCAACTTTGAAATTCAACAGTTTTGAGCTAACAATTCGTAAAATCTAAACCTGAAATTCAAAATTGAAACCCATCCTCCTTGAAACACCCGAAAACTGAAAAAAAAAATTTCGTTTTCCAAGTACGCAAAAAAAAGTAAGCTATTTAACTTGGGCTGTAAAAAACGAAATCTAAAAACAAGTGAAGAAATTGATTCAGAAAGAAAAATCATTTTACAAATTACAGAAAAACTTTATCGGTTTTTATCCTAAATTTAATCGGTTCAATTTCTTTTTTTTTGCAAAATGGAATATTTAGTTAGTTTTTCTATCGGCCTACTTCTCAGATCAAAAATTTTTTTTTCTTATTTACTCTTTTTTTTGTTTGAAAGTTTTTCTGTAATTTGTAAAATTATCTTTCTTTCTGAATCAATTTCTTCACTTGTTTTTAGATTTTTTTTTTCACTGCCCAAGTTAAATCGCATACTCGGAAAACAGTCTTTTTGATTACTAGATAAAAAAAATAATTTAATTTTTCGAGTGTTTCAAGGAGGATGGGTTTCAACTTTGAAATTCAACAATTTTGAGCTAACAATTCGTAAAATCTAAACCTGAAATTCAAAATTGAAACCCATCCTCCTCGAAACACCCGAAAACTGAAAAAAAAAATTTCGTTTTCCAAGTACGCAAAAAAAAGTAAGCGATTTAACTTGGGCTGTAAAAAACAAAATCTAAAAACAAGTGAAGAAAATGATTCAAAAAGAGAGATAAGTTTACAAATTACAGAAAAATTTTCAATCAAAAAATAGAATAAATCAGAAAAAAAAATTTTTTTGATCTGAGAAGTAAAAAAAAACTAACTAAATATTCCATTTTGCAAAAAAAAGAAGTTGAACCTAAAAAATTTAGGACAAAAAACATGAATCAGAAAAATGTGACATTTCTAATGTAAGCTTAACTGAAGACAATAATTACTACCTAAAACGTATGAATGTTTTGCTCGAATTTCTAAAATTTTAGGCTTGATAGAGCTCTGCAGAAAAGAAAAAAATCGTCAAAAAAATATCCGTAAGTTTCTCTTCCAACGAATACGAAGAAAATACTATGGTGCTTTAATGCGTGATTTTTCACTATTTTTAAGGTATCTTCAAATGGTCTAAAACTGAAAATTTTAATTGGCTTGTTCCGGAAACTGAGATAATTTTTTATAAATTTTCAAAAAGTGTTTGATTCATTTCTATTTGGTAATCATTATGTATTATGAACGCTTGATTAATTAGGTTCAGTATATCAATTTTCCTTATATAAAGCGCTATGGGATAATGCTGGCCCACGAACAAGGGCCAATGTAAGTTTAAAGCGAATTCTCTACAGCTTATTTTTTACTACACTCTTTGTCGCCAATCTTTCGAATCCTAAGAATATCATTTCAGATTCATAAAAACTGCATTATTTAAAATTTGTTTTATTGAATTACAAGAATATTTTCATAGAACGTATGTGGAAAAGTTGGGCTGGAAATAGAAATTTTCAGTATTTGTAATTCTTAGATAATATACAGCTTTAGTTATAGTAAAATGAGCACTTCATAAATCCAAAATGTTCGTCTAAGGGGTCTGTTGATCAGCTGAACAGCCAGTTCATGAAGGCTTGCTAAAACAGGACAAACAAAACTCTAAACGGTACAAAACTGATTCAATTGGGCGAAATTTGCACATAGCATAGAAAATCATGTTTTTTGAAATACTGTCAGCTTTTAAAAATACAAGTGAACATTTGATGTGCCAGTGTCATAAGAGCATTGATTTTCCGAAGAATTTTCAAATATTTCTTCTGAGGTCGAATCGCGACTGAATGAGAGCTCTGTTATCATACCACCGTTAATCTCCAACGAGCTTTCAGAAAACCGATGTATCTGAAACCGCCCAAAAACTGAAAAACTCCATCCAAGGCCCAGTTTTTTCTCCCCAATAAGCTTCAAGTTTTGCAAAAAAAATTAGTTGTGCATCGTCAGTTAATACATTTCAGCAATACTGATGAAGATGATGTAATGATTATCAATTGCGAATTTCATATTACCAATTAAATGATACAGGTTGATTTCAGCCCAATAGGGCTTATTTGATGAGTCAGAGGTGCTGTTTGGCATATTTGATTCTGATTGGGCAAGAGAGAGCGAATGCGATGAGAACTGGCCAATCAGATGATAGCATTCATGATAGCATTCAGCATGTTCCCCTGAAATCAAGTTTCGTCATTAGTTTTATGCTCAAAGCATCCAAAATTGAATTATAGATGTAAAACAGAACTTTTTTCACCAAAAAGTGAGATTTTCCAAAAACTAGCATCTGCTTTGGAGCAGCACGCACCAAAAAAAAACATGTTATTTTTAATTGAAAAAAGGATATAATAAAAAAGATCTTTTTTTTCAAATTTTTCAAAATCTTCTTTTTTCAAAATCCTTTTTTGCCTTATTATACACAAATAATCAAAAAAATTTGCCAAAAGTTGCTTCTGTTTTCCTATTTCTCTTACAGGTAGTGTATAAATGAAGAGGGCTAGGAAGAGGACGACGAAGATATATGCAAAATAAACCCCATTTGAGTAATTCTCAAGCTACCCAAGACCAAATTGTTGAACAGCAATCTCCTGAAATTAAAAGAATACCCGTTTACCCTAGAAGTAGTACGGATTACTAAAAAAAAACTGATTCAATATTTGAAGTTCAAGAATAACGAAAATTTGTACCAAAAATTGCTTTATTTTTGGCGCGCGCTCTCCCCCCTCAAAACTAGCTTTGGCGCCGATGGCGCCGTTAGAAAAATATTAGGGTCAGTCAGCCAAAAATGGGTATGTCAAAATAGTACAAAGGGGGACCCTTTTGTGTCGTCAGGGCGTCGAATCCGAAAAGGAAAAGACGTCAGACCCTCCCCCCCCCCCCAAATCCGCCCTGAAGAAGTCTACAGTTTTTTGACAAAAGTTTTGCAAATCCAACATCAGTGAAGATCCTAGATATGAATTACAGAAAAGTGGACAAAAACATCAGTGTAAATGTCTTGCATAATGATGAGCATAACTCAAGAGCAATTTCGGTGAATATTTCGAGGAAGCGAGCAGTTCAGAGTAGTCATCCGAGCTCCTCTCGTGAAAATATGCCGCCATTTTCTCTTTCGTCTCTTCCGCATCACAATGACGAGCATCGAAAAAATTTGGAAGCTGACAAAATGACAATCCAGTTCAAGGTTTGTAGTTGATCGATTTGTTTTGCAAAAAAAGTTCGAGGCCAGCAAGGGGCTATCAGAACATTCAGCGCTTTGCTCTGAACAAAATAATTTGGGGCATATGTGAAGTACGCATAACCTTGCGAAAGACAACTAGAGCAGTGGATTATAATAGAGCAAAGAAGGAGGGAATCGATCAAAAAAATTTTTTTAAAAGAGGTTACTCAAAAAAATGTTGAAATACGATACAAACACAAAAAAAATATTTAAGTTGTCTCGATTGAGCTTCATAAACATCGTCAAGTAAGCCTTGATAATCTTTTAGCAAGCAAGAACCAAGTCGACAAAATGTTTTCAGAAAATTTTGTTCTCAATTTCTGATTTAATCTATTTTTTAATTGAAAGTTTTTCTGTAATTTGTTAAGTTATCTTTCTTTCTGAAACATTTTTTTCATTTGTTTTTAGATTTTGTTTTTCACAGTCCAAGTTAAATCGCATACTTTTTTTGCGTACTTGGAAAACGAAGTACGCATAGTATTTTGTTTTCCAAGTACGCATAGTCTTTTTGCGTACTTGGAAAACGTTTTTTGTTTCAGTTTTCGGGTTTTTCAAGGAAGAAGGGTTTCAATTTTGAATTTCAGGTTTAAATTTTACGAATTTTTAGCTGAAAACTGTTGAACTTCAAAATTGAAACCCATCCTCCTTGAAACACCCGAAAACTGAAAAAAAAATTTCGTTTTTCAAGTACGCAAAAAGTCTGTTTTTCCAAGTATGCGATTTAACTTGGGCTGTGAAAAACGAAATCTAAAAACAAGTGAAGAAATTGATTCAGAAAGAAAAATAATTTTACAAATTACAGAAAAACTTTATCGGTTTTCATCCTAAATTTAATCGGTTCAATTTCTTTTTTTTGCAAAATGGAATATTTAGTTAGTTTTTCTATCGGCCTACTTCTCAGATCAAAAAAATTTTTTTTCTTATTTACTCTTTTTTTTGTTTGAAAGTTTTTCTGTAATTTGTAAAATTATCTTTCTTTCTGAATTAATTTCTTCACTTGTTCTTAGATTTTTTTTTCACTGCCCAAGTTAAATCGCATACTCGGAAAACAGTCTTTTTGCTTACTAGGTAAAAAAAATAATTTAGGTTTTCGAGTGTTTCAAGGAGGATGGGTTTCAACTTTGAAATTCAACAGTTTTGAGCTAACAATTCGTAAAATCTAAACCTGAAATTCAAAATTGAAACCCATCCTCCTTGAAACACCCGAAAACTGAAAAAAAAAATTTCGTTTTCCAAGTACGCAAAAAAAAGTAAGCTATTTAACTTGGGCTGTAAAAAACGAAATCTAAAAACAAGTGAAGAAATTGATTCAGAAAGAAAAATAATTTTACAAATTACAGAAAAACTTTATCGGTTTTCATCCTAAATTTAATCGGTTCAATTTCTTTTTTTTGCAAAATGGAATATTTAGTTAGTTTTTCTATCGGCCTACTTCTCAGATCAAAAAATTTTTTTTCTTTTTTACTCTTTTTTTTGTTTGAAAGTTTTTCTGTAATTTGTAAAATTATCTTTCTTTCTGAATCAATTTCTTCACTTGTTTTTAGATTTTTTTTTTCACTGCCCAATTTAAATCGCATACTCGGAAAACAGTCTTTTTGATTACTAGATAAAAAAAATAATTTAGGTTTTCGAGTGTTTCAAGGAGGATGGGTTTCAACTTTGAAATTCAACAGTTTTGAGCTAACAATTCGTAAAATCTAAACCTGAAATTCAAAATTGAAACCCATCCTCCTCGAAACACCCGAAAACTGAAAAAAAAATTTTCGTTTTCCAAGTACGCAAAAAAAAGTAAGCGATTTAACTTGGGCTGTAAAAAACAAAATCTAAAAACAAGTGAAGAAAATGATTCAAAAAGAAAGATAAGTTTACAAATTACAGAAAAATTTTCAATCAAAAAATAGAATAAATCAGAAAAAAAAATTTTTTTGATCTGAGAAGTAAAAAAAAACTAACTAAATATTCCATTTTGCAAAAAAAAGAAGTTGAACCTAAAAAATTTAGGACAAAAAACATGAATCAGAAAAATGTGACATTTCTAATGTAAGCTTAACTGAAGACAATAATTACTACCTAAAACGTATGAATGTTTTGCTCGAATTTCTAAAATTTTAGGCTTGATAGAGCTCTGCAGAAAAGAAAAAAATCGTCAAAAAAATATCCGTAAGTTTCTCTTCCAACGAATGCGAAGAAAATACTATGGTGCTTTAATGCGTGATTTTTCACTATTTTTAAGGTATCTTCAAATGGTCTAAAATTGAAAATTTTAATTGGCTTGTTCCGGAAACTGAGATAATTTTTTATAAATTTTCAAAAAGTGTTTGATTCATTTCTATTTGGTAATCATTATGTATTATGAACGCTTGATTAATTAGGTTCAGTATATCAATTTTCCTTATATAAAGCGCTATGGGATAATGCTGGCCCACGAACAAGGGCCAATGTAAGTTTAAAGCGAATTCTCTACAGCTTATTTTTTACTACACTCTTTGTCGCCAATCTTTCGAATCCTAAGAATATCATTTCAGATTCATAAAAACTGCATTATTTAAAATTTGTTTTATTGAATTACAAGAATATTTTCATAGAACGTATGTGGAAAAGTTGGGCTGGAAATAGAAATTTTCAGTATTTGTATTTCTTAGATAATATACAGCTTTAGTTATAGTAAAATGAGCACTTCATAAATCCAAAATGTTCGTCTAAGGGGTCTGTTGATCAGCTGAACAGCCAGTTCATGAAGGCTTGCTAAAACAGGACAAACAAAACTCTAAACGGTACAAAACTGATTCAATTGGGCGAAATTTGCACATAGCATAGAAAATCATGTTTTTTGAAATACTGTCAACTTTTAAAAATACAAGTGAACATTTGATGTGCCAGTGTCATAAGAGCATTGATTTTCCGAAGAATTTTCAAATATTTCTTCTGAATTCGAATCGCGACTGAATGAGAGCTCTGTTATCATACCACCGTTAATCTCCAACGAGCTTTCAGAAAACCGATGTATCTGAAACCGCCCAAAAACTGAAAAACTCCATCCAAGGCCCAGTTTTTTCTCCCCAATAAGCTTCAAGTTTTGCAAAAAAAATTAGTTGTGCATTTGTCAGTTAATACATTTCAGCAATTCTGATGAAGATGATGTAATGATTATCAATTGCGAATTCCATATTTTACCAATTAAATGATACAGGTTGATTTCAGCCCAATAGGGCTTATTTGATGAGTCAGAGGTGCTGTTTGGCATATTTGATTCTGATTGGGCAAGAGAGAGCGAATGTGATGAGAACTGGCCAATCAGATGATGGCATTCATGATGGCATTCAGCATGTTTCCCTGAAATCAAATTTCGTCATTTTAGTTTTATGCTCAAAGCATCCAAAATTGAATTATAGATATAAAACAGAATTTTTTTTCACCAAAAAGTGAGATTTTCCAAAAACTAGCATCTGCTTTGGAGCAGCACGCACCAAAAAAAAACATGTTATTCTTAATTGAAAAAAGGATGTAATAAAAAAGATCTTTTTTTTCAAATTTTTTCAAAATCTTCTTTTTTCAAAATCTTTTTTCCCTTATACACAAATAATCAAAAAAATTTGCCAAAAGTTGCTTCTGTTTTCCTATTTCTCTTACAGGTAGTGTATAAATGAAGAGGGCTAGGAAGAGGACGACGAAGATATATGCAAAATAAACCCCATTTGAGTAATTCTCAAGCTACCCAAGACCAAATTGTTGAACAGCAAACTCCTGAAATTAAAAGAATACCCGTTTACCCTAGAAGTAGTACGGATTACTAAAAAAAACTGATTCAATATTTGAAGTTCAAGAATAACGAAAATTTGTACCAAAAATTGCTTTATTTTTGGCGCGCGCTCTATCCCCTCAAAACTAGCTTTGGCGCCGATGGCGCCGTTAGAAAAATTTTAGGGTCAGTCAGCCAAAAATGGGTATGTCAAAATAGTACAAAGGGAGACCCTTTTGTGTCGTCAGGGCGTTGAATCCGAAAAGGAAAGGACGTCAGACCCTCCCCCCCCCCCCCCCAAATCCGCCCTGAATAAGGCATTCTTTGATTGAAATTTTGAAGTCTACAGTTTTTTGACAAAAGTTTTGCAAATCCAACATCAGTGAAGATCCTAGATATAAATTACAGAAAAATGGACAAAAACATCAGTGTAAATGTCTTGCATAATGATGAGCATAACTCAAGAGCAATTTCGGTGAATCTTTCGAGGAAGCGAGCAGTTCAGAGTAGTCATCCGAGCTCCTCTCGTGAAAATATGCCGCCATTTTCTCTTTCGTCTCTTCCGCATCACAATGACGAGCATCGAAAAAATTTGGAAGCTGACAAAATGACAATCCAGTTCAAGGTTTGTAGTTGATCGATTTGTTTTGCAAAAAAAGTTCGAGGCCAGCAAGGGGCTATCAGAACATTCAGCGCTTTGCTCTGAACAAAATAAATTGGGGCATATGTGAAGTACGCATAACCTTGCGAAAGACAACTAGAGCAGTGGATTATAATGCCGAATAGAGCAAAGAAGGAGGGAATCGATCAAAAATTTTTTTTTAAAAGAGGTTACTCAAAAAAATGTTGAAATACGATACAAACACAAAAAAAAATATTTAAGTTGTCTCGATTGAGCTTCATAAACATCGTCAAGTAAGCCTTGATAATCTTTTAGCAAGCAAGAACCAAGTCGACAAAATGTTTTCAGAAAATTTTGTTCTCAATTTCTGATTTAATCTATTTTTTAATTGAAAGTTTTTCTGTAATTTGTTAAGTTATCTTTCTTTCTGAAACATTTTTTTCATTTGTTTTTAGATTTTGTTTTTCACAGTCCAAGTTAAATCGCATACTTTTTTTGCGTACTTGGAAAACGAAGTACGCATAGTATTTTGTTTTCCAAGTACGCATAGTCTTTTTGCGTACTTGGAAAACGTTTTTTGTTTCAGTTTTCGGGTGTTTCAAGGAAGAAGGGTTTCAATTTTGAATTTCAGGTTTAAATTTTACGAATTTTTAGCTGAAAACTGTTGAACTTCAAAATTGAAACCCATCCTCCTTGAAACACCCGAAAACTGAAAAAAAAATTTCGTTTTTCAAGTACGCAAAAAGTCTGTTTTTCCAAGTATGCGATTTAACTTGGGCTGTGAAAAACGAAATCTAAAAACAAGTGAAGAAATTGATTCAGAAAGAAAAATAATTTAACATATTACAGAAAAACTTTATCGGTTTTCATCCTAAATTTAATCGGTTCAATTTCTTTTTTTTTGCAAAATGGAATATTTAGTTAGTTTTTCTATCGGCCTACTTCTCAGATCAAAAAAAAATTTTTTCTTATTTACTCTTTTTTTGTTTGAAAGTTTTTCTGTAATTTGTAAAATTATCTTTCTTTCTGAATTAATTTCTTCACTTGTTTTTAGATTTTTTTTTCACTGCCCAAGTTAAATCGCATACTCGGAAAACAGTCTTTTTGCTTACTAGGTAAAAAAAATAATTTAGGTTTTCGAGTGTTTCAAGGAATATGGGTTTCAACTTTGAAATTCAACAGTTTTGAGCTAACAATTCGTAAAATCTAAACCTGAAATTCAAAATTGAAACCCATCCTCCTTGAAACACCCGAAAACTGAAAAAAAAAATTTCGTTTTCCAAGTACGCAAAAAAAAGTAAGCTATTTAACTTGGGCTGTAAAAAACGAAATCTAAAAACAAGTGAAGAAATTGATTCAGAAAGAAAAATAATTTTACAAATTACAGAAAAAATTTATCGGTTTTTATCCTAAATTTAATCGGTTCAATTTCTTTTTTTTTTGCAAAATGGAATATTTAGTTAGTTTTTCTATCGGCCTACTTCTCAGATCAAAAAATTTTTTTTCTTATTTACTCTTTTTTTTGTTTGAAAGTTTTTCTGTAATTTGTAAAATTATCTTTCTTTCTGAATCAATTTCTTCACTTGTTTTTAGATTTTTTTTTTCACTGCCCAAGTTAAATCGCATACTCGGAAAACAGTCTTTTTGATTACTAGATAAAAAAAATAATTTAGGTTTTCGAGTGTTTCAAGGAGGATGGGTTTCAACTTTGAAATTCAACAGTTTTGAGCTAACAATTCGTAAAATCTAAACCTGAAATTCAAAATTGAAACCCATCCTCCTCGAAACACCCGAAAACTGAAAAAAAAATTTTCGTTTTCCAAGTACGCAAAAAAAAGTAAGCGATTTAACTTGGGCTGTAAAAAACAAAATCTAAAAACAAGTGAAGAAAATGATTCAAAAAGAAAGATAAGTTTACAAATTACAGAAAAATTTTCAATCAAAAAATAGAATAAATCAGAAAAAAAAATTTTTTTGATCTGAGAAGTAAAAAAAAACTAACTAAATATTCCATTTTGCAAAAAAAAGAAGTTGAACCTAAAAAATTTAGGACAAAAAACATGAATCAGAAAAATGTGACATTTCTAATGTAAGCTTAACTGAAGACAATAATTACTACCTAAAACGTATGAATGTTTTGCTCGAATTTCTAAAATTTTAGGCTTGATAGAGCTCTGCAGAAAAGAAAAAAATCGTCAAAAAAATATCCGTAAGTTTCTCTTCCAACGAATGCGAAGAAAATACTATGGTGCTTTAATGCGTGATTTTTCACTATTTTTAAGGTATCTTCAAATGGTCTAAAATTGAAAATTTTAATTGGCTTGTTCCGGAAACTGAGATAATTTTTTATAAATTTTCAAAAAGTGTTTGATTCATTTCTATTTGGTAATCATTATGTATTATGAACGCTTGATTAATTAGGTTCAGTATATCAATTTTCCTTATATAAAGCGCTATGGGATAATGCTGGCCCACGAACAAGGGCCAATGTAAGTTTAAAGCGAATTCTCTACAGCTTATTTTTTACTACACTCTTTGTCGCCAATCTTTCGAATCCTAAGAATATCATTTCAGATTCATAAAAACTGCATTATTTAAAATTTGTTTTATTGAATTACAAGAATATTTTCATAGAACGTATGTGGAAAAGTTGGGCTGGAAATAGAAATTTTCAGTATTTGTATTTCTTAGATAATATACAGCTTTAGTTATAGTAAAATGAGCACTTCATAAATCCAAAATGTTCGTCTAAGGGGTCTGTTGATCAGCTGAACAGCCAGTTCATGAAGGCTTGCTAAAACAGGACAAACAAAACTCTAAACGGTACAAAACTGATTCAATTGGGCGAAATTTGCACATAGCATAGAAAATCATGTTTTTTGAAATACTGTCAACTTTTAAAAATACAAGTGAACATTTGATGTGCCAGTGTCATAAGAGCATTGATTTTCCGAAGAATTTTCAAATATTTCTTCTGAGGTCGAATCGCGACTGAATGAGAGCTCTGTTATCATACCACCGTTAATCTACAACGAGCTTTCAGAAAACCGATGTATCTGAAACCGCCCAAAAACTGAAAAACTCCATCCAAGGCCCAGTTTTTTCTCCCCAATAAGCTTCAAGTTTTGCAAAAAAAATTAGTTGTGCATCGTCAGTTAATACATTTCAGCAATACTGATGAAGATGATGTAATGATTATCAATTGCGAATTTCATATTACCAATTAAATGATACAGGTTGATTTCAGCCCAATAGGGCTTATTTGATGAGTCAGAGGTGCTGTTTGGCATATTTGATTCTGATTGGGCAAGAGAGAGCGAATGCGATGAGAACTGGCCAATCAGATGATAGCATTCATGATAGCATTCAGCATGTTCCCCTGAAATCAAGTTTCGTCATTAGTTTTATGCTCAAAGCATCCAAAATTGAATTATAGATGTAAAACAGAACTTTTTTCACCAAAAAGTGAGATTTTCCAAAAACTAGCATCTGCTTTGGAGCAGCACGCACCAAAAAAAAAACATGTTATTTTTAATTGAAAAAAGGATATAATAAAAAAGATCTTTTTTTTCAAATTTTTCAAAATCTTCTTTTTTCAAAATCCTTTTTTGCCTTATTATACACAAATAATCAAAAAAATTTGCCAAAAGTTGCTTCTGTTTTCCTATTTCTCTTACAGGTAGTGTATAAATGAAGAGGGCTAGGAAGAGGACGACGAAGATATATGCAAAATAAACCCCATTTGAGTAATTCTCAAGCTACCCAAGACCAAATTGTTGAACAGCAATCTCCTGAAATTAAAAGAATACCCGTTTACCCTAGAAGTAGTACGGATTACTAAAAAAAACTGATTCAATATTTGAAGTTCAAGAATAACGAAAATTTGTACCAAAAATTGCTTTATTTTTGGCGCGCGCTCTCCCCCCTCAAAACTAGCTTTGGCGCCGATGGCGCCGTTAGAAAAATATTAGGGTCAGTCAGCCAAAAATGGGTATGTCAAAATAGTACAAAGGGGGACCCTTTTGTGTCGTCAGGGCGTCGAATCCGAAAAGGAAAAGACGTCAGACCCTCCCCCCCCCCCAAATCCGCCCTGAAGAAGTCTACAGTTTTTTGACAAAAGTTTTGCAAATCCAACATCAGTGAAGATCCTAGATATAAATTACAGAAAAGTGGACAAAAACATCAGTGTAAATGTCTTGCATAATGATGAGCATAACTCAAGAGCAATTTCGGTGAATATTTCGAGGAAGCGAGCAGTTCAGAGTAGTCATCCGAGCTCCTCTCGTGAAAATATGCCGCCATTTTCTCTTTCGTCTCTTCCGCATCACAATGACGAGCATCGAAAAAATTTGGAAGCTGACAAAATGACAATCCAGTTCAAGGTTTGTAGTTGATCGATTTGTTTTGCAAAAAAAGTTCGAGACCAGCAAGGGGCTATCAGAACATTCAGCGCTTTGCTCTGAACAAAATAATTTGGGGCATATGTGAAGTACGCATAACCTTGCGAAAGACAACTAGAGCAGTGGATTATAATAGAGCAAAGAAGGAGGGAATCGATCAAAAAAATTTTTTTAAAAGAGGTTACTCAAAAAAATGTTGAAATACGATACAAACACAAAAAAAATATTTAAGTTGTCTCGATTGAGCTTCATAAACATCGTCAAGTAAGCCTTGATAATCTTTTAGCAAGCAAGAACCAAGTCGACAAAATGTTTTCAGAAAATTTTGTTCTCAATTTCTGATTTAATCTATTTTTTAATTGAAAGTTTTTCTGTAATTTGTTAAGTTATCTTTCTTTCTGAAACATTTTTTTCATTTGTTTTTAGATTTTGTTTTTCACAGTCCAAGTTAAATCGCATACTTTTTTTGCGTACTTGGAAAACGAAGTACGCATAGTATTTTGTTTTCCAAGTACGCATAGTCTTTTTGCGTACTTGGAAAACGTTTTTTGTTTCAGTTTTCGGGTTTTTCAAGGAAGAAGGGTTTCAATTTTGAATTTCAGGTTTAAATTTTACGAATTTTTAGCTGAAAACTGTTGAACTTCAAAATTGAAACCCATCCTCCTTGAAACACCCGAAAACTGAAAAAAAAATTTCGTTTTTCAAGTACGCAAAAAGTCTGTTTTTCCAAGTATGCGATTTAACTTGGGCTGTGAAAAACGAAATCTAAAAACAAGTGAAGAAATTGATTCAGAAAGAAAAATAATTTTACAAATTACAGAAAAACTTTATCGGTTTTCATCCTAAATTTAATCGGTTCAATTTCTTTTTTTTGCAAAATGGAATATTTAGTTAGTTTTTCTATCGGCCTACTTCTCAGATCAAAAAAATTTTTTTTCTTATTTACTCTTTTTTTTGTTTGAAAGTTTTTCTGTAATTTGTAAAATTATCTTTCTTTCTGAATTAATTTCTTCACTTGTTCTTAGATTTTTTTTTCACTGCCCAAGTTAAATCGCATACTCGGAAAACAGTCTTTTTGCTTACTAGGTAAAAAAAATAATTTAGGTTTTCGAGTGTTTCAAGGAGGATGGGTTTCAACTTTGAAATTCAACAGTTTTGAGCTAACAATTCGTAAAATCTAAACCTGAAATTCAAAATTGAAACCCATCCTCCTTGAAACACCCGAAAACTGAAAAAAAAATTTCGTTTTCCAAGTACGCAAAAAAAAGTAAGCTATTTAACTTGGGCTGTAAAAAACGAAATCTAAAAACAAGTGAAGAAATTGATTCAGAAAGAAAAATAATTTTACAAATTACAGAAAAACTTTATCGGTTTTCATCCTAAATTTAATCGGTTCAATTTCTTTTTTTTGCAAAATGGAATATTTAGTTAGTTTTTCTATCGGCCTACTTCTCAGATCAAAAAATTTTTTTTCTTTTTTACTCTTTTTTTTGTTTGAAAGTTTTTCTGTAATTTGTAAAATTATCTTTCTTTCTGAATCAATTTCTTCACTTGTTTTTAGATTTTTTTTTCACTGCCCAAGTTAAATCGCATACTCGGAAAACAGTCTCTTTGATTACTAGATAAAAAAAATAATTTAGGTTTTCGAGTGTTTCAAGGAGGATGGGTTTCAACTTTGAAATTCAACAGTTTTGAGCTAACAATTCGTAAAATCTAAACCTGAAATTCAAAATTGAAACCCATCCTCCTCGAAACACCCGAAAACTGAAAAAAAAATTTTCGTTTTCCAAGTACGCAAAAAAAAGTAAGCGATTTAACTTGGGCTGTAAAAAACAAAATCTAAAAACAAGTGAAGAAAATGATTCAAAAAGAAAGATAAGTTTACAAATTACAGAAAAATTTTCAATCAAAAAATAGAATAAATCAGAAAAAAAAATTTTTTTGATCTGAGAAGTAAAAAAAAACTAACTAAATATTCCATTTTGCAAAAAAAAGAAGTTGAACCTAAAAAATTTAGGACAAAAAACATGAATCAGAAAAATGTGACATTTCTAATGTAAGCTTAACTGAAGACAATAATTACTACCTAAAACGTATGAATGTTTTGCTCGAATTTCTAAAATTTTAGGCTTGATAGAGCTCTGCAGAAAAGAAAAAAATCGTCAAAAAAATATCCGTAAGTTTCTCTTCCAACGAATGCGAAGAAAATACTATGGTGCTTTAATGCGTGATTTTTCACTATTTTTAAGTTATCTTCAAATGGTCTAAAATTGAAAATTTTAATTGGCTTGTTCCGGAAACTGAGATAATTTTTTATAAATTTTCAAAAAGTGTTTGATTCATTTCTATTTGGTAATCATTATGTATTATGAACGCTTGATTAATTAGGTTCAGTATATCAATTTTCCTTATATAAAGCGCTATGGGATAATGCTGGCCCACGAACAAGGGCCAATGTAAGTTTAAAGCGAATTCTCTACAGCTTATTTTTTACTACACTCTTTGTCGCCAATCTTTCGAATCCTAAGAATATCATTTCAGATTCATAAAAACTGCATTATTTAAAATTTGTTTTATTGAATTACAAGAATATTTTCATAGAACGTATGTGGAAAAGTTGGGCTGGAAATAGAAATTTTCAGTATTTGTATTTCTTAGATAATATACAGCTTTAGTTATAGTAAAATGAGCACTTCATAAATCCAAAATGTTCGTCTAAGGGGTCTGTTGATCAGCTGAACAGCCAGTTCATGAAGGCTTGCTAAAACAGGACAAACAAAACTCTAAACGGTACAAAACTGATTCAATTGGGCGAAATTTGCACATAGCATAGAAAATCATGTTTTTTGAAATACTGTCAACTTTTAAAAATACAAGTGAACATTTGATGTGCCAGTGTCATAAGAGCATTGATTTTCCGAAGAATTTTCAAATATTTCTTCTGAATTCGAATCGCGACTGAATGAGAGCTCTGTTATCATACCACCGTTAATCTCCAACGAGCTTTCAGAAAACCGATGTATCTGAAACCGCCCAAAAACTGAAAAACTCCATCCAAGGCCCAGTTTTTTCTCCCCAATAAGCTTCAAGTTTTGCAAAAAAAATTAGTTGTGCATTTGTCAGTTAATACATTTCAGCAATTCCGATGAAGATGATGTAATGATTATCAATTGCGAATTCCATATTTTACCAATTAAATGATACAGGTTGATTTCAGCCCAATAGGGCTTATTTGATGAGTCAGAGGTGCTGTTTGGCATATTTGATTCTGATTGGGCAAGAGAGAGCGAATGTGATGAGAACTGGCCAATCAGATGATGGCATTCATGATGGCATTCAGCATGTTTCCCTGAAATCAAATTTCGTCATTTTAGTTTTATGCTCAAAGCATCCAAAATTGAATTATAGATATAAAACAGAATTTTTTTTCACCAAAAAGTGAGATTTTCCAAAAACTAGCATCTGCTTTGGAGCAGCACGCACCAAAAAAAACATGTTATTCTTAATTGAAAAAAGGATGTAATAAAAAAGATCTTTTTTTTCAAATTTTTTCAAAATCTTCTTTTTTCAAAATCTTTTTTCCCTTATACACAAATTATCAAAAAAATTTGCCAAAAGTTGCTTCTGTTTTCCTATTTCTCTTACAGGTAGTGTATAAATGAAGAGGGCTAGGAAGAGGACGACGAAGATAGTTATCAATGTGATGATCATGTGCCACTTGTAGTGTTTCCAGATGATGTGTTTGAAGGTGGCCCAGGGGGACATGAACCAGAGGAAGGAGGTGGCCGGGCGGCTGCAATCAAGCACAATTTATGATACAGTTCATGATACAGTTCATGATACAGTTCATGATGTACAATGATACTGACAGGCTATGATATATCAAATAGTAATAATATAATAATAAATTGTTTGCAAATTAGTTTCCATTCATTGCAAAAGTTACTACATTTACAACCAAATGAAATATCATAGTTTGATGATCAATTAGGAGATGATAGCAAGCTCAAGCTCCCGCATAAATTCCATGTAAATCCTTCCTATATAATACTTTAAGCACTTTTAAAACATTTTCAACTTATCGCTTTCTAACTGAGCAGCAACAACAAAAGTTAGATTTCCTTAAAATCACACTTAAATCTTCAACTGAAAATTGAAAGATTTCTGAAACGCTATGTAGTATTGCGAAATACTACACACACACAAAAGACCATTGTCTTAATTGTTTATTTAACGACCCAATTCTAAATTGGAGCGTGCCATTTAAATTAAAGCCTCTTTTCACTAAATCAGATATTGACTTATTTACTCTTATTAGGACTATAAAATCTTGTTTTGAAAATCCACTCCTTTTTAAATACTTGTCCAATTTTTCACATTTTTTCATGCTCAATATTTTAAAAGGGCGGCGATTATTAATACGTCCCTTTTAACTTAACTTGAAATAAAATGGATAAATATTTAGCAGTCTTGCCGGCTGCACTGAAATTCTCCTTGCTTTGATTAAGCAGAGGTGCACCTGCAATATGATGCATCAGAGAGAGTAATATGAATTTTTAATAAGACAAACTGAAGGATGCGGTTTTTATCAAAGGGGACTAATAAGTTGAAGATATTTGATTTGAAAAAATCAAATAAAAACTAGTTGAAAATTCCCTTATTAAAAAGGGAGAACAAAAGAGCAGGTGAAACCTGAATAATTAAAGATTGAATCAGCCGCCGGTTTATGCTTATGAGCAAAAGGACTGGCCTGAAATCTTCAGTGTTTCATTTTGCTCAGTCAGCAGCAAGTCATTTCTCTTCAGTCAGATCTTTTAAAAATAAATAATTTTTCTTTTCTGCCCTAACACTAAAATTAATCTAGCCCTTTTCACTTATAAAAAGAGAATAAATTCTCATTTTAAGTTTGAAAAATTATAAATCGAGATACTCAAGATTCGCACACCCGAGGAAGTCTGGACTACAAGTACCCAAAGGACTACGGCAAGACGATTCAGACGACCCAACCAGAAGTGCTGACTTGGACAAACATCAAGGGCAACCATACATACTAATCAGCCACCGACCTTAGTAAGAAGATAAAATATTGATGAACAAAATAAGATTAGTTCAACCTCCCCTCATAGGTATATTTCTTTAAGCTGTTCGATTCATTTATATAATCTAATAACCCAGTGCTCTGTATCTAACCAACTAATTAATTCATACCTTTTCTAACTATTTTTTCTACTCTACTTTTTGTCAAGACAATTTGACGATCTAAGGTGAGACTTATAATTTAGGATAAAATTACTAAGCATTCAACCAGCAATGAGAGCTTAGTAAAACTGGTGCGACCGCAGCAGAGAACTACTCCTTAAGAAATTCTTTTTCCAACAAACTCGAAACAGCTTTTAAAATTCAAAAAAATATATTTTTATTAGGATCTGTGAGTATTTGTCAGATTAGTTTCCAACCTCAAAAAGCCAGAGACAATGGGTATCTTTCGATAGAAACACCATTTCATTGTCTTCTACTTGACAGATATTCCTAGTAGGGTTGTTGCGAAAGCATCCCCTGCGCTAGCAGTCGCCCACGATATCCCTCCATCTCGAGGTCTATTAGACGGCTTTCTAACTGACATTAGCTCATGAACTTAACTATTATCTATTATTATAATAATATATAAAATTTCTGAAAGAATCGTTCTCTGCCTAAGTCCGCTAGTAAGATATACCCGTTTTGTCCAGTAATCCACTAAAGTTTTGCCGAAACTTCAGTTTAAAGTTATCATCACTAAAATTAACGAAATTCTGTATTAAACTAAAGTGCTCAAAAACTTATTAAATATCTTCATTTATTTTTTCGAGGGGGTTAAGTGGTCCTATGTGCGATCTAAGAGTACCCTAAATTGTATGATAAATTGAATTCTTCATCACATTATCTCAAACCATCCACGGTTGTTGCTATTTATCCTAATCCTTCATCAATTCTCGAGGCTTATCCTCAAATTTTCTTAAACTCATTTTAATTCTAACCACCTTAACGTAACTTAAACCTAAATCATCCATCAGTAAAGCTACCAATTACTGAAACTAAGGAAGAAAATAACAAAAACCAAAAAGGAAGGAACGGATTTGAGTGTTTTTTAATAAATCATTAGTTTTTTTTAACACAGTTTAAATATACACCTAATAAACAATAAGATTACGCACTAAAACCAATCTTAAACGTTAACCACATAACACCAAACACCAAGTTTTAGTTTCAGCACAAAAATATCAGGTTTTACAACAAAAACTAAGTTTAAAACACTGACACATCCACTTTATATTGATAAAATAGGTTTCATATGATAGCATAAGCACTAAAAAATTGATTTTTACCAGCAAAAATTTTTGGTTTCAGTCTAGGTTTCAGTTATAGGTCCAAACGTTTCAGTTAAAATAAGTATAGTTTCCGGTCAAAATTTCAAGTTTCTGTAAACGGATTCGGGTAAAACAGCAAAAGTTGAACTAGTCAAACCCAAATTTGGATACCATAAGTCAAAAACCTGGTCTTAAATGGTACGTTTTTGTTAGTTTCAGGTTTCAGAACACAAAAATTGAGTTTTTGGTCTCAAAATTGAGCTCCGAACGCCGAATTTTGACTTTCTAAAGAAAACTAACGGTGTTAAAACCCACCAAACCAATTTTAAATTTTGGTTCCTAAGGCTGAAACGTACGTTTCAGAATTGGTGTTTTTGGTTTCAGACCCAAAAATTTTGCTTCCCGAGTGAAATTTTTGTGAAATATTGAAAGATAATAGGAATCCTTAATGCACTAACAAATTTTTGAACTCAAAAAACTTCTAGAAGGTGTTAGTTTGAGCCCTCAAACCTCTGGTTTCAGAAAACTAAAATCGTCGTTTTAGGCTGAAATTTTCATCTTTTTGGCAATTTTATTGCTGGAATAGAAATATATCAGAGAGACCAACCTAAATTTTCAATCTCAAAACTCTAAAACCAAGTGGTCAAACCATAGTTTCAGTTCTAGAAATCATAGTTTCAGCCCCAAAAACTTAGGTTTCCGCAAACAAATTTTTGATTTTGAAGTTACAAACCTGTTACAAAAATTCTAATTTACACTAAACCAGCTATCAAAAACCAACTTTTTATTTTCATGCACCGAGTTTGAGAGAGTTTAAGAGTTTTAGGTTTGAGTTTTCAAAAACTAAGTTTAAGATATCAAAAGATTCGGTTTTCTCGAATTTTTTTGCAAGATAAAGCGAAAACCAGATATAATAAAGCGTATAGAAAATTTTAAGATTAAAAAAAACTCAACTTCAGCTACCATAGTTTCAGGTTTCAGATTATCGTTTCAGTCAAAAAATTTTCTATAAATTTTTAACAAAAAAAATAAAGTTTTGAACCAGTAATAACCATTAAAGGCATATAGTTATATTGTTAACCATACCATAGCATCAATAAAACTTCACTTGAACAAAGTTTCAGGTTTCAGTTAAGGTTTCAGCGAATAAAAAACTTGAAAAACTTAGAAAAAATTTTAAAAAATTTTTTTTTCCAAAGAAATTTTTTAAATTTCCTTATCTTATTATTAATAACCTTTGTTAATATTCAATAATTCCTAAGAGGTTTTCATTACTCTAAAACATACTAATCAAATAGTACAACTTAGCTCAAGAAAAAGAAAACAAACATCGTAAAAATTAATGTCAACACATTTTAAAATTGACGTCAGTACAATAAGTTTAAAACTCAAATTAGGAAATAAAGTCTCTAACATCATATGGTATATCACTAACACAGAAAAAGATCATATTAGTATACTAGCAAAACACCCTAACGACGATAAACACGAATTATACGTCTTCTTTCGACGATATACTCCAGAAATTGACACAATTCTTCAGCCAATAAAAATACCAAATAACATAATTTGTATACCGGAAGAGCGAGTAATTGCTTCACTCCCGATTGCTTTTTGATATCATAATATACCAAAGCACAAAACTACTTGCATTTTAATCATTTTTTATTAAAAACACAAAATTTTCCTAAACAAAAATTAAAAATCATAACAAGTTCATAAGAAAAATTTAAATATTTTTTATATTGTTTATCATTCCCTAGATAATTATTTATGTCCCTAAAAGGATGTAAAATGCTATGACCAACTTTTATTAAGTAAATACAACACCATTTAATTTAAAGCTAAATTTAAAAAATAAATCCACAAAAATTATTTGGTATATCACCATTATCCAAAAAGATCAAATCACAATTTTGTCCAAACACCCACACAAAAATATTCACGAATTAACCATTCTTTCCAGCAGCAATACCCCAGAGATAACTTTTATCTTAAAAAAGCTTAAACAGCCCCATAGCACTATTGATCTATCTAACAAAAACTCGTATTCATTGAAACCAGCAAACTTCATTGTAACTTAAATACAATTATTTCAGTCCGAACAATTGATCAGTACACAACACATCCAAAACCCTTTATATATTGTTAACAAAACATTGAGCGAATTAAACAAAGATGGCAAACGTAGTAGCATACCCAGATTTAGCTCTCGAAAAGTTTACCGGCTTAGATCCGAATGAAGATGCAAGAGATTTTCTTGATATAGTAGAGAAAAAGATAGCATTTTCCCTAGGCACTAGACCAGGAGACGCAGGTGACGAACAAGACGCATATGATAACAGACAAAGAGCCTTATTTGGTTCAATATTAAGAGGTCCAGCCGCTCAATGGTATCAGGGATTAGCAGCAAACTTACCTTGGAATGATATAAGAGATCAATTCA